TCCCTCCTGGGCATCCAGGACCGGCCCTCAGCTGGGCCAAGAGGAGGGGGCAGAGGGCTTTGCCTCTTCCCACTTCTCTTCGCCTCTTTTGCATCTTCTTTCCCAGACTTATCCACAGGTCGCCCTGCACTGGCTCTCTGAGGGCCATCTTGCCACTTGCCTGGCGGATGCCGAGACAAGCCATGGTCACAGCCATGGTCACGGCACCTGCTGGCCGAGGTGGACTCTGACCCGGGTTCATAGGTGAGACCAGCCCCAGAGGAGGCGGCAGCCCAGCAGGAGGGCGCAGGTGCTGGACCTGAACCGGGCTGCCCCTCTCCACAGCGGGTGGGTGGCGGCTTGCAGGGCCCTTCGTGTTCCACAGATACCACCCCAGGATGCCCTCTGCGCCGCCCAGGGAGGCAGAGAGTGTAGGCGGGGGGACAAGTGGCAGTGGGGACAGCCCCTCCCCATTGCGAGCCCCCACGTGCCAACCAAGCCTGGACTTCACGGGGCGGGGATGAGGGGGCAGGCTGCAGGGCCCAGGAGGGGACGACCCAGCACACGAGGCGGAGGCCACCTCCACCTGAGGGCAGCGGGCAGGGAGGGAGGGGTCCAGGGGTCTGGGGGAGGGGAGCTGGCGAGGGGTCCTGGAGGGGACAGCAGAGGTGGAGGGCGGGAGCTCTCCGCCCCTTCATGGTGCAGAGGCGGTTGCCCAGCGCCTCTGTCCCCAGGTGGGCGGCGCAGGGGGCCTGTGCGGGAAGGTTCTTAGCTCTCTTCATCGGACCCACGGCCACCGAGGGACCCTGGACACACCCGTGGACGCCAGGGCCCAGCAGTGAGGCAGGTGGGCGCCGCCTGCAGGAAGCTGACACCCAGCGCCGTGGGGCGCCCGCCGACGCCCTTCCCTTCGCCCAGGAGCAGGGGCAGCGAGCGGGGCCCCGGGCTGCAGCGGCCCTACCACGGGCGGGCCTGGTGGGGACACGGCGCATGCGCCCAGGCTGGACAGGGCCCGGGACACGCGGAGTCCAGGGCCGCCCCGGCCCCAAGGACCTGCACATTTACCTCGATATTTAAGTGGGAGGGGGAGAAAGATGGACACACCTCAGTCACCAACACACTCCCCCGCACCTGCTCTGGCCCGAAAGGACTCGAGGCCCAGAAACAGCAGTTTACATAGAGCGGGTCGCCCCGGGGCGGGGGGG